CCCCCCCGCCACCCCAATGCCCCCTTATCCCCCCCCCTCCCCAGATCACGAAGCTGAAAATCGACAGGAATCCCTTCGCCAAAGGTTTTCGGGATCCCGGGAGGAACAGGTAAGAGCCGGGACCCCCCCTACCCCCCCCGTCGGGCCACCGGCCCCGCCGCGGCGCTGAGCCCGGTCTCCCCCCCACCCCGTAGGGGGGTCCTGGACGGGCTCCTGGAGACCTACCCGTGGCGACCCCCCCTCGCCCTGGATTTCAAGGCTTTCGGCGCAGACAGCCAGGGTAAGTCCCTCTTGCTGCCGTTTCTCCCACCCCGCCTCTCCCCGTGGCCTCGGGGCTGCGCCGCGGCCGCACGGCCGGAGCTCTCCCCCGGGGGGGGCGGGGGGTCTTAAACCATTAAGAAAAAAACGAACCGGCAGCCAAGGTAACGTTTTGGGAAGCCAATTCTACGTGTTTTCGGGCAAAAGTCCTGTTAAAATGGATTTGGGGAGCGGAGGACTCAGCCCGGGAAGAGAAGGGTACCGGCGCGGTTTGCCTTCATCGCCCGGCAGAAATCGGATTTAGGGGGGCAGAAAAAAAAATCTGAGTATGCAGAAGGCTGGTTTAGAGTCAGGTTGTTATGGCTTTGATCCCGTTATAGTTATTGTTTCTAGCAATTTTGAGAATATTAGCTAAAACCGCGGTCATAATGACCGCCGGGGTCTTCTGCAGCCGGCGGCTTCGGTGCAAGCAAACGCGTTGTGCGCCAGAAAATAAAATTATCCCCTCTTTAGGATGGAGCAGTCCCACGGGCTGTTAACTCCACAGGAATGCAGGGAAAAGGGAAAAGTTTTTCAGGGAAAACCATCTCCCGCCGCCTGACAAGCGCCTGTCGGTCTCTTACAGGACTTTTTTGCAGAAAAAAAAAAAGGCTTTTGGAAGTATTATTTGAAAACTGATTATTCATAGCGTGGAAGGAAAAAACTAACAGGGCATTTGCACGTTGGAGTGCTCCGGTTTGGGTTTGAAGTCTCTGGTTTAAGTCCCATTTCTGTTAGGAACTCTTCAAAATATTGGGGCACACCAAATCACTCCTGTCTCTGTGGGGAAATGCTGCAAAAATCCCAGCAGAAATCCATGCGGTACAGGCGCAGAAATGCAGAGACATAAAAAAACAGACTTGGGAGAAATTAAGAGGTTTATCAGGTTGTAAAGAGAACTAGATTTTTTTTTTCTTTTTTTTTCTTTTTTATTTAGAAAACACTTTATGCAAAAAAGCGCCTTTTGAACCCGTTTTGCAGGCTGGGATGCAGTACCGAGGAGAGGAGCTGATGGATGATGGGCTGCAGTGGGGAATGAGAGAACAGCAACTGCCTTGATTATTGTACAGATGCTACAATATTAGGGTTCCCTGGGATTTTTTTTTGCTAGTCTTAATGCAATTGGTATTTTTCTTCAGAGTTAATTTTCTGGACCAATGTATATATAACAAAATCTCCAGTTCCACTAATAATAAAACTGTATTTCTGAAGAAGAGCTGAAAAACAGAAATCCCGAAGCCCAAAAACCAGAAGGTAAATTAAAAGAAAGCATGAACAATATGCTGAAGGAAGAACTGGCCATAAATTTGGGATTTTTAAGCCTAATAGAAACGGCAGAAAGAATCTGCTCTTCGAGCTGCTCTGTCCTCCCCACGGTGATCCCTGTTCCCAAACTTGTACTGACAATCCTGTGCTATTTTTGCTTAGGATACCTTGAAGCAAATACTAACACTCCTTTGCTCTGCTACAGCTAGCTGCACAGGGATTCATTTGCTGCCTCGCACTCACGCATATCGCCTCAATCACATCATTTTACATGACCCAAAGTCCCTGAGTCCTGGGAGGACGTCAGGACGTGTACATCGGGAGAGGACCGGATCCCTGCCCTGCATCCACTCCTGCTGATGTCAGTAGTGAAACAGCCGCTGACATCAGCGGGGAAGGGTGAGACGTTGGAGCCGTAAAATATTCCTGGATTATTGCAACTAGGTGCTGCCTGCGCGTTACCTGACCTGTAAGATACTCTGCTTGCTGGGACTTTGCAAACTTAATTTGCACCACGTCCAAACGCTTTCTGTTTTTTTAAGGTTTGATGTACTAGCAGATGTGGCTTGGTTATACAGTTGATTCTGTGTTGCTGATTGCATGTAAAGTCTGACCAGATCACATCCAGACAGTGCATCACTTGGAATTAAATGTAAATAGAGAAAAACACAGAGCAAAAATGGATCCGCATTCCCTTCCTTCCTTTCCCAGTGACTTCGGTAAGAAATGAAAATAAAGGGGGAAAAAAAACCCCAACCAACCCTCTGGAAGAATGTGGTAATGAATGTGCAGCAGAGACATACGGCTCTTAAATGCAGTTAGATGAAACCAGCATCTGTTTAGCACCAGGGCTGGCCGCTCCAGAGCACCATTCCCACGCCAGAGCAGCCGCTGCTTCTTCGTTTTTGCTCTTGATGTTGCTCCGGAGGAGCGGCGAGCCAGTGCTGAACAGTGATGTTATACACCAGTGGCCTCGGCAGCGCTCACACGTGTGTCGCTTTTCTACAAAATTATGAAAGTGTTCATTGATTCATTTCAGAAAGGAGAATGTTAAAATGACATGTGCATTTGAAGTTTCTGGAGACACCTCTAGTATTCAAGGGTATGTTTCAAATTGCATGGGAAGCCAAGTCAAATTAGTCAATTCCTGTGAGCAGGAAAGTACAAAAAAATTCTCCATCAGGCTGAATACGTTTTTTTGTTCTTGCGTACAAGGGGAAAAAGCTGCCTGTAATTTGCAGGAAAAATAGGGAACCTAAAACAGCAATGGTGTATGTATAACAGGAGAAGGTTATCGGTCATACAGCGAGGCACAGACGCGGCAGGTACCTGTATGTGTAGAGCTGAACTTTATAGCTGTCCCACTCTAGTGGATGGGATTAGATAAGTGTGAGTATTGTCCTTAAACAAGTGCCAAGTAGCAACGACATATAATTTACGGACAGATCTTCCCATTTTCCAGGAGCTGATTCTTGGAGCGGGTTTGTGCTTGGATGGACACTGGCAGCAGGGCGCTGAGGAGCGGGAGCAGGAGTCCTCCGGGGGCTCCTTGGCTGCGAACATCAGCTAGCCCAGCCTGGCCGATTTCTGGTTTTCCTTTCAGGTGGGAGCTCCAGTTCTTCGCCGGTGACCTCCAGCGGCGGGACGCCCTCTCCCCTCAACCCCCTGCTCTCTCCATCGTGCTCACCTCCCGCGTTTCACTTGTCGGCAAGCAACATTGGCGTGTCGTGCCCCGAGACCTACCTACACAACCTCAACGTGCCCCTCTACTACAAGATTTGTCCTACGGGCTTCTTAAGACAACAGTCTCTCATCTTTCCAAGCCACGAAAAACTGGGAGGCACCAACGCGCATCTTTTACCCCACGTCATGGTGGATATGCCAAAACTATCTTCCCTCGGCATAACCAATCTGAAAAATGCTAAAGCTGAAGACTTAAACGGGCAATGTCTACAAGTACCCAATTCTGCTAGTCAAATGCTGTATGGATTACATGCATCTGGAAACATTTTCCCATCAAGTCCCATTGCTCGGGAAGCACTTAATTGTTCTTTACATCCTCCATATGGCTTGTATGGTTATAACTTCTCTGTGCCATCTAGACTGATGAATGCAGCAAGCCATTTCAAAGTGAGTGACAGCATTCCTGCTTCTTTGAGAGATGGCAGATGTAATCACTCTAACTGGCACCCGACAATTAACCATTGCCTTTAGTGGAATTATGTAATATTTCTAAGCATTGATATGTAAAGCAAGCCTTTCCTTCCTTCATACCCAAGGGCTTGCTAGTTATCGACTATGAAATACTGCATGGTACAGGAGCGGTATGTCTAGGCATTTAACTTTTTTTTGCGGGCAAACGCGTCGTGTTGTTGGGAGGGTGGAGGATCTGGGAGCGTGGAGGGTCTGAGATGATCCACAGCAAGGTGATACCTTTTGGTAGTATTTATGTCATGGTTGTAGGTTAAAAGCAAACTGTACAGTCACCTTTTTAATATTTGCACTCTGAAGTGGGAACGTAGCCGTATACATTTCTACAAATATGTTTTCCTGAAACTCTTTATCTAGCTTGCCTTTAGTTAGCTCAAAGCCCTAGTGAGCTTCTGCTCACCCACTTGAGATTTTCCACTTATTTGAAAGGGACTATTTGAGACCTTGAGTCAGCAAAGGAGCCATATTTGGCCAAGTGCTCGAGCGTGTTCTCAAGTTCCCTTGGCTTTAATGGGTCCTAATTACTGACAAGGAAGTGCCTTGTTCTCCAGGACCCAGATGACTCGGTTATCAGAGTGGGGACGTAAATCCAAGTATCCACTGCCAAGGTAAAGAAAGACAGGATAAAAGATGGATGTGTTCCTACCTTGTGGGGATGAGAAAGCAGAGTCTGATGCAGGGGTGTCCCAAGAGCCCTCCTTTCCGTGCTCCTGCTTCTGGCGATCTGCAGGAGGTGGTAGTGCAGAGCAGCACCAGCGTTGACGGCGTGGTGGGAAGGAACAGGGGATGGGGGGTCACGCATCTCCCCCATGGTGAGACGGATCTATGCTGGGGGACCGCGGGGGATACACCTCGGAGAGCCGTGTGGGATGAAACACCTCCAGGAGGCCCGCAGGACACTCCTCCTGCCCAGCGCTTTCAGCCTCGGGGGACACGGAAGATCCACCTGGGATCGCATCCGCCAGCCGGTGCCCGAGGGAAGGGGCTGGGATGCTCCTTGGCAGAGCTTTTCTGCAGAGTTACAACACTATGGGCCCCAAAACATGAGATTTTTCTATTCCTTCCAAAAGTCCTCTTTGTTTTATTATAACCTGTGGATATTCTTGTTATTCCTGTAAATAATCTCTAGCTCCCAAGGGCACAATATAACTCGCAATAAATTGGGGCACAGCTTTTATTCTTTATTTGATCGATGCTCAGTCCCTACCTGAAGCCAAATTTATTATTTGATATATGACAGAGATTTGAAAATAATGCTTGACTGGGACCGGCTGCATTTTGGGATTAAGATAAGAGAATCCTGTATTTACAAATGTAACGCAGCACTATTTAGGGATTAAGTGCAGGTTTAAAACTCAAAATTGGTATCACAATTTCAGTTTTACTTTCACCCATAACAGACAACAAATTAAGAACAGAACAAGCCGTGTCAAAAGCTGTTAAAATAACAAAAACTCACACTTTTACTTTCATCAGACTTTGCTAAAAATCAGACAACATTGGTTTCCCTAATTTACCTGCTTTGAGCGTTCAGAGCCCCCAACGATACCAGTATGAAGCGGTGGGCCAAGCTTGCCTTGCTAAATGGTCTGTACAACTGTAAAAATGAACAAACCTGCTTTCTTGTGCTGTTTCTTAGCAGTTTATCTCACTATTTTTATTAAAAAGAAAAGAAACTTTTTTTTTTTCATTCGGGAGTCCTTCTTTCCAAGCCATCCCTCATCATCAGTGGTGGCCGAATTCCCACGGGCGAGCTCGCTGCAGGCGCTGGGAATGGGCTCTGCAAAGCGCTGCGGATCTCCGAGCACTCCCCTCGGGCTGAGGGACCGAGCACCGGCCCCCACATGTGGTTATACTTTGGGGGAACTGGAAGACTCTTCCAGATCAGTCACGGATTCGTGGGTGGATGCAATGGGTAACTTCCAATTTTCCAAATATTTGCGGTTGTATAAGATATTCCAGAGTTGCTGGCCATGAGCTGGTAATCCAATAAATCAGTGTTGGTCTAGTTAAAAACATGACCGATAATGACTAGAATAGATATTTCCAGTACGGACAATTTTACAGCCATAGATATTTAAATTGAGATCAGATAAATTCCATCTACTACAGCTGAGCAAATGCTTTTTTTGATGGGACCCATCTCATTCCGACTCGGAGCATGTCTGCAAACGGGCACGGGATTTCCCAGAGCTGCCTGTTTATTCTGTGCCTTTTGGCATGAAACTACAAACCCAGCATCTGGGGGATACGCTCCAACAGCGATGCTCAGCGAATTCCAGTGGAATTGGGTTGGGTTTTGATGCGCCTGGTCCCGTAAGAGCCCAATTTTCGCCACCCTCCCCGATCACAGCCACATGGAAAACACTCCCAGAGCCTGGTGCCTGCAAGGGATGCGGGACACCGGCACCCGTGTCCCTTGGGTGCTGGCACCGGGCTCCAGGGAGGACGCAGTGCTCATCAGCGTGGGTGAGGCAGACGTATAAATACCAGTTTGCTCCATACGAGAGGTCAGCACGGCATGAAACTGTCAGATCTGCATTCTCCGAGGTTCATTTCTATTTCCTTTGCCTTTACCTCCTGATTTTATCCTTTCAAAAATCATTATAATGAATGAAAAAAGATGTGGGGATATTTTCAGGCAGTCATAGCTCTCTGTCCTGATGCCCCCGTGGTCACTTCAGACCCAGCAAAGGCTCCCCGACTGTCCCGCCACGGGAGTATTTTCCATACCAGCAATGGTAATTCATCTGAGTTGCTCACATTATCACACAGATAGTTCTGCTTGTATGAGAAAAACTGTGCTCAAAACAGTGGATAACCTGCTCGCTGCTTTCTAGGGGTGCTTGTGAAAACGGCTGCTGGTGGGAGGTGAGTGGCAGAACCCGAGAGAGTAAGTCAGTATAATAAATCATAATTTATTAAATATGAAACTGGGGGAATTGAGGTCAATATTTCAAGCCGGTCCACGTGCCTGTAAATACAAATACATTACATGCTGCTTTGGACTTCCTCCCATTAACATTATTTGGAAACCTGTGGCAATGGCAAAAGTTCACAGTTCTTCAGACTTAATGGGTGAATACAAACATAAACCCAGTATTATGGTGCTATTTTTAAAGGGGAACAGGGAGAAAATAATCAAAGATTTTTTTTTAAAGATTAAACCTGCTGAACAATCTTAGCTGGTAGTCATATGACTTTTCCCAAGAGGAGTTTGAAGTTACTTGGGAGTATCTGATCCCATTTATAGCACTCGGTAAATAAAACTGGCTGTACCAAGGGCACCGTGTCCATACTCAACACTGGGACATGGGATGGGCTCAGTGCTCCGACACCAGGAAGCTGATTTAAAAATCAAGGAGACAAAAAAAAATCCCCCAGCAATAATGTTTTTAATCAAGGTGCAGTTTACTATCCAGTTTCACCCAAATTTAATACATCTATTGGAGAAGCCAAACGTGCAAGGGGACCGTGGGACGTAGCTTTTTCTGATCGAAGTGCCTCAGTTCACATTTGATCTTCTGAGGTTTGGTCTGTAATTAGATGATAATTTGTATCACAATTATGCAAAACAAACGAGGATTGGATAGCAAGATAGACCAGAACAAATAAGCACCCAGAACATTTGAAATGCATCCAGTGTTAAAACGATGTACATGTGTGGCTGGGGCCAGGGGGGACATGCTGTTCCAATAAAGCTGCAGAAAGGGAAAAGGCCAGTATCGGTTCCTACAAAAGTTTCAAATGCTCATGTTTACAAATTTGTATTGCACATTAATATGTAAACACACGCTATTGGAAACAGATGACTCCGCAATATTTACGTGTCCTTTCTTCTTAGTTTTGGGTGTCTGTTTGTCTCCCAGAATACACAAAACGTGCAGTGACTCTTTTAAAACATGACTCAGAAAGCTAAATAAGAGGTACAGTATCTGAAGGCACAATTCTAAAATCTCCAGCGCCGCAGCAGCTCTCCCGGCCCCTTGATGTATTTTGGGTGCTGGGTACAGGGGGATGCATCCCCCGACTCCTCCCGGGGTTGTGCTACGAGCACTCGATGGCTGGGGCCGCACTTTGCAGTCCCTGGTGTTTAAACTAAAGTAATTTTGCAAAGGACAAGAAAAAAAACACCTTCCTTGCAATCCGTATAAAAGCTTGGGACTTGTCAATCACCTTTTCTTTCACCCGTTGATTTGCATTTTAGGACGCAAGCTCGGGGCACCCCTTTCTGTGCTCGGCCGTGTCTGGGCAAATGTCAGCCCCCCCGGCCCCCGTGGAGTTAAAGCCGGTGTCAGAAAGCCTGGGCGCAGCAATCCCGGCTGTTGGGAATTAAATTGGCTGCAAGGACTTTTGCAGATGTTGGGTATTGCGCTGCAAGCTGCTCGTGCTCACCAGAGCTCTGCTCTCACTGAGCTCGTGTAGTTTCTGAATTTTACAGTTATTTATAAACCCAATTCTCCTCTGCGTCCCCTCGGTGACATTCCCAAGAAGGACCTACCGTCTACGTCCATACATCAAACAATTTCCTCCCAGATTGCTTATCCTAAAGCACCAAGTTTTAATTTTATTGTAGCAATTAAGTACAAGAAGTAGTCCAGGTTTTGTGAAGGACCCTGTGAGCTTGTAAATCAAATGACACAAACCAGCAAGTAAAACTCAAGACCTTTCTGGAGAGGAAAACACCAGCGATAAGGGAGAACCCCCAGGAAAAATAATATTTGCTGTCTAAGGAGGCAGATCCTGAACAAAACCAGAGATGGGGGCAGGGGCTCAGGATGCCTTCTAGCTCTCTGAAGTCTGAAGATATATTAGATGCACTAAAGAGGTTTTCAGACATTTTCTCTTATTTTAAAAGCCTCGCTCGTTCAGGTTTTTAGAGAATGGCTTTTTGGAGAAATTCACTTTTTCCTTCTTGGCGCTGGCTCCAGATCTCATCTCCGAGCTGGGTCCCAGCTCCAACAATTTCCTCCGGGCCCTGCCCAGCAGCTGGGAGCACTTAG